GTGGTGGGGGGTGGGAGGGATGGGTGGCTGGGTGATAGACATTGGGGAGGGTATGTGCTATGGTGAGCGCTGTGAATTGTGCAAGACTGTTGAATCACACATCTGTACTTCTGAAACAAATAATGCAATATATGTTAAGGGAAGAAAAAAAAGAAGAAGATAGCAGGAGGGGAAGAATGAAGGGGAGTAAGTCAGAGGGGGAGACGAACCATGAGAGATGATGGACTCTGAAAAACAAACTGGGGGTTCTAGAGGGGAGGGGGGTGGGGGGATGGGTTAGCCTGGTGAATAGTATTAAAGAGGGCACATTCTGTGTGGAGCACTGGGTGTTATGCACAAACAATGAATCATGGAACATTACATCAAAAACTAATGATGTAATGTATGGTGATTAACATAACAATAAAAATTATAAAAAAAGAAAAAATATATATACAGACTACATTGGTTTAGGGAATTTGGAAATGAGAATTAATGCACTATGCTCCTCTGCTGGGTTTTTGTCATAGGCAAAAACTGATTTAAGGATAATAAAGCCAAAATCTTTGCAATATGTTTAGATTTTAGGAAACAGACACAATCTGTAACTAGCAACTGCATTACAAATGCAGCCATTCTGAACTTTATTACTTTAAGCACTTGCAGGCACACATACTCTTTATAACTACAGGGCATGATAGGCAAAAGGACAAAGAACTAAAATGTTTATTATCTCATTTACATAAATTGATACTATGAATTATCATTAAATTTCATATTAGCCATTTTTTATACAAACAATAAAATTTATTTGCCATTTTTTATTTTAATTCCAGCATAGTTAACATAATGTTATATTAGTTTCAGGTGTACAATTTAGTGATTCAACAATTCTACATATTACTCAGTGTCACATTAACCATTTTATTTATTTTTTTTATTTTTTTTAAGATTGTATTTATTTATTTGACAGAGAGAGACACAGCAAGAGAAGGAATACAAGCAGGGGGAGTGGGAGAGGGAGAGCAGGCTTCCCGCTGAGCAGGGAGCCCGATGCAGGATCATGACCTGAGCCGAAGACAGATGCTCAATGACTGAGCCACCCAGGCGCCCCAACATTAACCATTTTAATGACTTTTTGTTTATCTAAAACCATGTTCCACAAACCTTCACACTAATTCAACTGTAATGGTCCATATGTTAATTTTGTTCTAAAGACAAGTAGCAGATCACATTTGAGAATTCTTCTTTTTTTTTTATTTTATTATGTTATGTTAGTCACCATACCGTACATCATTAGTTTTTGATGTGGTGATCCATGATGCCTTGTTTTCGTATAACACCCAGTGCTCCATGCAGTACATGCCCTCCTTAATACCCATCACCAGGCTCACCCATCCCCCCACCCCCCTCCCCTCTGAAACCCTCAGTTTGTTTCCCAGAGTCCATAGTCTCTCATGGTTCATCTCTCCCTCTGATTTCCCCCCCTTCATTTTTCACCTCCTTCTCCTAGTGTCCTCCCTGCTATTCCTTATGTTCCACAAATAAGTGAAACCATATGATAATTGACTTTCTCTGCTTGACTTATTTCACTTAGCATAATCTCCTCCAGTCCCATCCACGTTGATGTAAAAGTTGGGTATTCATCCTTTCTGGTGGCTGAGTAATATTCCATTGTATATATGGACCACATCTTCTTTATCCATTCATCTGTTGAAGGGCATCTCAGCTCTTTCCACAGTTTGGCTATTGTGGACATTGCTGCTATGAACATTGGGGTGCATATGGCCCTTCTTTTCACTACATCTGTGTCTTTGGGGTAAATACCGAGTAGTGCAATTGCCGGGTCACAGGGTAGCTCTATGTTTAATTTTTTGAGGCACCTCCACACTGTTTTCCAAAGTGGCTGTACCAACTTGCATTCCCACCAACAGTGTAAGAGGGTTCCCCTTTCTCCACAACCTCTCCAACATTTGTTGTTTCTTATCTTGTCCATTTTTGCCATTCTAACTGGTGTAAGGTGGTATCTCAGTGTGTCATCATCATTAGCCATCAGGGAAATTAAAATCAAAACCACATTTGAGAATTCTTATCTTTTCAGCCTGGTATCAAGTGTTAAAGGGTAAGAAGGTATAACTTATACAAAATGCAATGTTATTCAGACCTCTAATCTTAGTCTAAAATTGTTTCTCTTCTTCAAGAGGAAACATATAATGTGTAATCTTCCTTCAGGAAAAGAAGTTCATGTATTTTGATATCATGGCAAGTCATTCTTATCTCTTCAGATGGATAAGGAAGTACCTTAAGATGTTGACTTTGCAAAAATGAGAGTTGCTGATAATGCCACATACCAAGGGTTATGTGAAAATAACGAGGACATGAAGAGATATAGCTAAAGCTAAGCCAATAGGTTATGGAGATCATAACCTGAATATTTTTCAGTGGGTTCTATAAAAATAGGCAGGGAATACAACCAGGCAGGGGTCCAAAAAGGGGAAGTGACCATTGAAATCAAGAAAAATGTGGAGGGCACCAGAAACAAGGACAGTCACTGTATCAGTTAGCTTTTGCTGCATAACAAACCATCCCAAAACTTAGTGGCTTAAACAACAACCATTATTTATATGACAATTCTATGGGCTGACAGTTTGGGCTGGGAATGTGCTCAGCTGGATGGGGCTTCTTGTCTGAGTTTAGTTCAGTTGATCTCAACATGGGCTCACTCATGCCTCTGCTGTTACCTACCAGGCAGGTCACCTGGGAGCTGGTTGATTGTTAGCTGGAGGATCTTGGTTCTCCTCCATGTGGCCCCCATCTTCACACAGCCTAACTTGGACTAGTTGACATGGTGGTCTCAAGTTCCAAGAGTAGCAGCAATAGAGTCTACGTAGGCTTGGAAATCTCACACCACTTTCACTGACTCTATTAGTCAAAGTCAACCACAAGTTCTGTCCAGATTCAGTGGGTAGGAAAAAACCACACTTGCAAGGAGGGGCTGCAAAGTAACTTGGCCATTTTTGCCACTTCCACAGTTTTTCAAGGAGATGTCCCTGGAAACATCACTAGGAAAATTAAGAACATGGTATTAAGGAGGGTACATGTTGTGATGAGCACTGGGTGCTATATGAACTAATGAATCATTGAACACTACAAATAATAATAATAATAAATAAACTTTATTTTTTTCTGATCCTACTTTAATCTTTTTTTTATTATGTTCAGTTAGCCACTCTATAGTACATAATTAGTTTTTTATGTAGTGTTCAAGGATTCATCAGTTAAGTATAAATGAACTTTAAAAATTAAAAAAATAAAAAATAAAACTTTAAAATTTAAATAGCAAAAAAAGGATTAAGTAATGAGAAGTGAGTAAACAACTCAATATTGTGCATGACAAAGTTTAAAAGAGTGATTATGCTTTTCTATAAAAAAATTAAAATAAAAAAAGAACATGAGTGAGTAACGGCTACTTGGCAAAAATAATTTTCCTGCTATAAAGTATCCCCAGAGCTAATTTCATGTCCCTGTTCCTCAGGGTACAAGTAAAGGGATTTAACATGGGTGTCACCACTGTATACATGACTGAAACAATTATGTCTTTGACTTTGGAATTGTTTGATGAAGGCATGAAGTAAATCATTTCAAGAGTCCCATAGTACAAAAACACCATGAGGAAGTGGGAGCCACAGGTGGACAAGGCTTTGCAGATCCTCTTGATGGAGGGGACTCTCAGCATGGTTGCCCCAATGTGGATATAGGAGCCCAAAATAGCACAAAATGGTAGGAAGGCAATCACTCCCCACTCAGTGAAGATAACTAGCTCATTGAGGCAAGTGTCTGAGCAGGTCAACTTCAAAAGGGTAGTGAGATCACAAAAGAAATGAGGGCTGGTATTGTCAGTACAGAAGGACAGGTGGGACAGAAGAGTATGCAACAGGGCATCGGGCACATGAAAGGAGCCAGGATCCAGCCACCGGTAAGATACACAGCTCCTCCCTCATGACAGTGATGTAGTGGAGTGGCTGACAGATGGCCGCATACCTGTCATATGCCATCACAGCAAGAAGGAAATTGTCAAGACAAACAAAAAGTATGAAAAAAATACATCTGAGAAATGCACCCCACATAGGGGATGGATAAGTGTTGAATCTGCATGTTCCTGAGCATGTTTGAGACACTGACAGATGAGAAAGAGACATCAGTGAAGGCCAAGTGGCCGAGGAAGAAGTACATGGGCGTGTGGAGGCGAGGGTCCAGCCTGATGAGCAGGATGATGAGCAGGTTCCCCAGCACCATGGTCAGGTACACGCCCAGGAACAGGGTGAAGAACGTGCTCTGCTGCTCTGGCCGGATGAGGAGCCCCAGGAGGAGGAACTCGGACACGCTGCTCTGGTTCTCCCTCTTCATTGTCTCTCCTCAATCTATGCTGTGATAAAAGGAGTAGGAAATTTCAGGGACTGAGATATGGTTGTTATCATAACTGTGTGTACATTACAGCCCCATGCTTTTTTTCCTGGAGACTGTGTCAAAATTGAGATATTTTGCTGTCTGAATCTTCTGTCTGCCCCCTTCTGGTCGCAGAATGCATCAGATTTCCAACAGCAAACAAGATTTCCTTCAAAAGAGACCAGCATAAATTTCTTCACTTATTGAGCCATGTTCCAGAGACTTTCTTGGCACTGAGAATAAAACAGAAAATAAAACAGTCAATCCTCCTCCTCCTTGGAGTTGACAATGATCGAGCACAGTTTAGAATATTGATCAAGAGCTAGGGCTTTGTAGCCAAAAATCTTGAATTCCAACCTCAACAATTTACTACCTGAGTGGCCTTGGGCACTTTATGTCACTGTGATCAGAGATCCTACTCTTCACCATTGTGCTGTTCCTGCCCTTCATTCATTTGGCAGAAAATCCTGGGCCATGTTTGGAATTGTTTCAGGGCTTCAAAATTACCCCAGCTACCTATATTCATATATATGATGACCCTGTATTTTATTATCCAAGCCAGGACACTTTAAGAGTGAAAAGAGAAGTTACATAATAATTATACCAGAACAACAAGTCTACAACAAGATGTTCCTGGGCAAACCAGCATGTACAGTCACCTACTTATACCTCACTTTCTAATTTGCAAAGGACTTCCACATGCAGTTACTTACATTAATTAGTAAACATTTATTGTGTGCCTGTAAAGCAGGCATTCCAACAGTTCTTTCATGTTACTATTGTGGAAACAGTGGTGAAGTCACATACTCCAGCATGTATACTCGTTGATGGATCATGATCTTAAGCATAGGACTTCTGATAGTCTTTACACTAGAGGCCAGGCAACTCCTTCACTGGGAGTTAAACCAGAGTTAGAGGCCACATACAGAAGCCCTAAAATGGAACCTAGTGAGACAGTATCATTCTAAGACACAGGGATCTGATAGGAGAGCCTCTTTGAAGAACAGAGATGAACTCAGTCATCTCTGAGCTCGTCTCCGTCAGTGGGACCAGAAGGAGGGCAGAGACTTAAACATTTTACTGATATGTGGCTGCCCGGTGACATTTACTGGATAAGACTTCTCTTTGGAACTCAAGTATTGGGGGTGAGATCCAAAAGTTTCATGTCAAGTAGGATCTTCACATTCAGTGATTGGATCAGGAAGAATAGAACTCTGATGTAAGCCACCCCCATGTGAAAGAACTAGCTGGCTACATGCCCAGGAAGGAGGAAGGGAAGCTGTCAGCTGGCTCTTTGGATGTTTTCTCTGCCTTTGCACAAAATACTCTATAAACAGTCAAGAAATGACTAGTGAGTTTAAAAATCTCATGCATTTATGGAATAATCATGATGCTAGCACCCATTTAGTGCATGCTTATAATATGCCACATACTGTGTTGAATACTGCCATCATATTTTACAGTTCAGACTTCTTAGCCTCACCGAGATGGAGCCCAAGGTCCAAAATGATGGGTTGTTTTTTTTTTTTGAAGCAGATAAAGGTTGGTTTTATTGAGTAACTGATCTGTGTTCCTGCTGAGGCCTTCATGTACAGACAAAAGAGAGGGAGTTTTATTTCTCTGTCTCTTCCTCCTTGGACAGAGTCTTGATGATTTCCTCCTTCCTGGCCTGGAGCCGCTCTTCACGGCGCTTGCGAGCCTCCTTGGTCTTAGATCTGCGGGCCTCAGCCTGGTCAGCCAGAAGCTTCTTGCGAGCCTTGTCGGCCTTCAGCTTGTGAATGTGTTCCATGAGAATCCACTTGTTCTTGAACACGTTCCCCTTCACTTTCAGGTACAGGCTGTGGTACGTGTGGCCGTCGATCTTCTTAGATTCACGGTATCTTCTGAGCAGCCGGCGCAGAATTCTCATCCTCCTCATCCAGGTGACCTTCTCAGGCATCCGAGCACTGGCAGTACCTTTTCTCTTACCAATGCCCATATGTCTGCCCTTCCGGCGGGCCAAAGTGTTTTCACGGCACCGAGCCCGGGAATGGACAGTCGCAGGCTTCCGGATGATCAGCCCATCTTTGATCAGTTTTCGGATCTGCTGACGGGAGTTGGCATTGGCGATTTCATTGGTCTCGTTGGAGTCCAACCAGACCGTCTTTTTGCCGCAGCAGAGGACACTGGAGGCAAGCCTCTTCTGAAGCCTGAGCATGCTCATGGCTGCGGCCGCAGCGCCGAAAGGAAAGCCCAAAATGAAGTTTTGAAAATAGGATATTTGAATCAAAATGTGTGTGACACCAAAGCCTAAGCACTTAACCACTACCATGTTCTCAAGAGTAGAAATACAGCATTATGGAAGGCGAATGAAGAAAAGTACCCTTGGAGCGCTGTGGGGTCTTCAGATCACATGGACGAATGGCTTACAACCTGACCTGAGGATGACTCTGCTTGGAGCTGCCTGTCTCTATCTGAAATAAGAGGAGATAAGATATAAGAGGAGAATGTAGCTATGAGTGTTTATCCAGCACATATACCATGCACATACACACACACACATTGCCTTATCATGGTTTTAGTTCTCTCCCTTCTATACCCATTCTAGAGTGTGAGTGTTTTATACATGAAAACACACATGCAGACACACACACACACATATACCCCATCATAGACCTCAGACCTATACTCATCCTCTTCATGACCTATACTCATTCTAGGTAAAACAAACAAACAAACAAAAAAACAGGGTTTTGTTACTTTTACATAAATTTACACACAACTGATAAATAGAACACTGTCACACACGATATAATACATAAACATTACAGTCATCCAGACAAAGTGCAACCCACCCAAAAAGCACACACTGTATACACACAGGTACACATGCAGACATGTGAACATACCATACACAGACATAAACCTAAACACCAGGTGCATACACACACATACACCACCAAGAAGAGTTTTCCCTCCATAATCTACTGAACCCCTTCCTATAGGAACAGAATTGGTATGTGAGTCAGTTAACCATTAAATACACTGGGTTATACAAACAACACAAAAAACACACACATGCATACACATCCTTGCATAAACATACAAGTCCAGTGCCAGGTGGTGATTCTCCATCTTCTTCTGCCCTGAGACACTCGTTGGTGAGCTCAGACACCTCTGGTCAAGGTTATTTCCTGAGCCTTCACTTTCTGTTCAGGAGACCCAGTATTCAAAGAACAAGTTCTTATGACCTAGGGACCTTTTGAATGTTCATCCCTGTTTTTGAGTGTCAGAAAAATGGGCAAGAAGATCCCCATTCAACAACAAGATTAGTACCCGAAGGGAGACAGTATGAGCTTCTGATGAGAGAAGAAGCCTATGTGGGCTAACTGCCCAATTTCCTGCCTTCCCCTTGGGAGGTAACCTCTGAAGGGACTAGAGGGGCTGAGCCACAAGTCCCAGGAGAAGGTGTCCTAGATATCGATGTTGATGACACAGGAAGCAGAAGTGACCATGGCCTCCTTGGCTTCTGAAATAGCTATGGCACAGGGTCAGCCTTTCTATACCTTGCAGAATGGCCAAGACAGGGTAAGGCCTGGCCCTTGCAAACTCCCACATCTCAGACCTAGCTTCCATTAGAGCAAGTGTTCCACAGCCCCCTGAGGGCTTGCAGGTCCTCCCATTCCCCTGAGGTACTCTGCAGGCCAGGGGCTGAGACTTGTTCAGGAAGCAGTCAAGTGGTGAGATTGATCCCAGGGCATTAGACACAGACTGACCTGAGATCAGTACCAGCTCTGCCACTGGGTGTCCTAAAAAAGGGACTTAAGTTCTGCTCCCTCAGATCTACGGCAGGTGGTAACAGTACCTTGCCTGAAGGCTATTGTGAGAGTCAAAGGAGATACTGTGTGCAAAAGCACTAAACCCAGCCAGATTCCTAAAGACCAGTTGGCCTAAGGGACTAATATCCTAATGAATTTGCCAAATGTAACATTCACTTTAATAACTGTTCCAGTGCGTAACACACCAACCCAAGTCTTCATTTAATTTTAAATTATGATAGTAATAACTAAAAGCAGACTGTCGATGGGGAACAGGAACACAAGACTTTACTTTCCATTTTTTACTTTTGATAAATCAGACTAATGGTAAGATATGGCACCACAGAAATATATATATGTCAGAGAGAGAAAGAAAGAGGGAGATTTTAACAATTGGCTTATGCAACTGGGTGTTATACGAATACAATGAATCATGGATCACTACATCAAAAACTAATGTTGTATGGTGACTAACATAACATAATAAAATAAAATTAAAAAAAAAATTGGCTTATGCAAGGGGGAGGAGTTAAGATGGCAGAGGAGTAGGGGACCCTAAGTTTGTCTGGTCCCTTGAATTCAGCTAGATAGTTATCAAATCATTCTGAACACCTGCAAAATCAATCAAAGATCTGAGAAAATAAATGCTGCAATTCTACAAATAGAAAAGTGACCACTTTTTGGAAGGTAGGAGGTGTGGAGACTTGAATCTGGAGTGATATGTCAGAGGATAGGTCAGTGGGAAGAAGGTTGGCTTAAGAAGGCTACACAAAGTATTATAAGTAGCAGAACACAGAATTGGAACTTTTAGAAGTCTGCTACAGTGGAGGATGTTCCTGGCTTAAAGGTGCTCAGGTGGCGAAGCGGTCAGAATCCCACGTGGGACAGCATGGTCTCAGGATCCCTGGGGTCACAAGAAGAACAGGAGTGCCTGAGTGTGGCAGAGTTCCCAGGCATCACAGCGGGGAAGCTGGCTGAAAACAGTGAGTCTCACCGCCAGCTTTCTGCTTGGTGTTGCCGTAAACTGTGAACTGCTGCATGGTCACACAACCCCTCTCCAAGCCCAGCAAGAGCCAGAAGTATGGCGGGTGAGACCTCCCCTTCTTCCCCCAGGGGGAATGGCTGGAGTCCACACCACTGGAGTCTATAAAATTTGGCAAACCT